TAAATACCCCACATAGCGAGTGAATTACACACACACACACACATACAAGTTGTTTTTGAATCATTAACAGAACTGCGGCTGGCCAAGATTCGATCCTGCGTTTCCATTTCCCAGCCCTGTGAGAACAGGACACAGTACGCATCACTATTCACTAAACCACAAATTGCGGTCCGGTGGATAGGGTAATCCAATAAATTTAAATTGTCATCAATATAATAGTGACTGGCAATGGGTTAATTGCGAAGAAAATTAATAAGTAATATAAAAAAGTAAAAGACAACACAGTCTTACGAAGTACTACAGCTGATGAAAGAATGTAGAGACTGAATCAGCTACAACGGTAGAACTCAAAGTTGGAAATCAATAAATAAGTCATGGAAAGGCGGAAAGTCAGGAGTATTGTGGAGAGAGAAAAAATCTGTCGTAAGCTGTCTAATGATCATAAATTATGTAGATATATGGCATAGGATTTACCATCATTAGTTAAGAGAGAGATCACTAGTAGAATTATGTATGAAAAGATAAATGGTGAGAGAGACGAGGAAGGGAAATAAAAGAAATTGTAAGGCCGGAATGAGTAAAGTACGTAGTTAGAAAAAAAGTGAGAAAGTTGGGTAAGACTGGAAAGGTCAAATAATGAAAAAACTAAAGCTGGATGAAATTAAGAGAGAGCTTATCTCATGATGAATATGACACATGTAACATCTGGGTATCTTTATTGACGAGTCGTTTCGCCTGCGCATCAGCCTTTTTTTTTTTTTTAATCTGTAACATAAGCGACTATTATACCGCAGACGATGGAAGAAGAGGAGAGGTTATTTTGAACTGTTCAGTCCCTTATATCAAGATTAAGAGAGAACAGGGACCTCAGTAGTAATGCAGGGACTACAGTGGAAATAAATCACTTTGCTTGATTTTACCCTCATCCTATATATTATTACATAACGTAATAATATATGAGTGATAACATCATCTGTGTGCCCTCACAACCATGGTTATAAAACCATGTATGTTAACATATTAATTGCCTAAATATAAACTTACATACTACAGGGGAGACTGCGGAGTGCGAGAAAGGGACTAAAATAGGGTACTGCGAGGATTGGAGAGGGGTGCGGTGAAGGCAGTATGGATCACCATCAACACTGTCACTCCCATGGACGGGTGGCACGTGCCACGCCCAACAGTGCTTTGTCCACACCTCACAGTACACTGCACTGCTGTATGTTACGTCGTCACTCCTCAGGGTAGACCACCTCGCCCTCACACAACATTAATAACGCCAGGACGAACTTTAATGAACGATATTAATCCCTCACGGCAAATTCAATTTATAACTGACAAGTGTTTCTTGTATTTATCTTTTATAATCTTTCAGAGTATAAGTCAAAACAAAGACAAAGTTGCTCACTCAATAATACAGGATGAGAAAGAAAATAAAACAGAACTAGTGTCCGAAAAAGTAGCTTCGGGGACACTTTTTGAAGGATTCAGGATCAAAGGTGTCGGGAAGGATACAAGGGTCGGGGCTTGTTCCCACACTAGTTGCGAACTGAAGAAAATAAGACGGTGTAACACTATTTTAGTGTGAGAATATAGTGCTTTGCAAATATCATGAGAAAATGTGAATAGTAATGGCCCACAATTGATTTATCTCGGGCCTCTGTAACAATGGATAGAGTATATATCTTCATGGCATTTACGGTTTCCAAGCTCTTAGTGCATTAGATAAGTTTTATTACATTATCCTTGCACAATACGAACAAGTTTATGAGTGAGACATATATGCAGTACTAGGGAATCTTTATTAATGAGAGGTTTTGCCTGCGCACCAGGCTTTTTAATTTAATACTAGAGAAAGTAGTAGAGGAATATTTTTAAGGTGCTCGGTCCCTTAATCTTGATATAAGGGACCGAACAGTTCAAAATAACCTCTCCTCCTCTTCTATCGTCTGCGGTATAATAGTCGCTTATGTTATAGATTAAAAAAAAAAAAGGCTGATGGCCAAGCGAAACGACTCGTCACTAAAGATACTCAGATGTTACATGTGTCATATTCATCATGAGATAAGCTCTCCCTTCAAGGGGGCGGTGTGCCTTGAGCCCCCTTGGTGCTGGGGGGGCTAATGATTCAGGGAATTGGAGCAACCTTCCTCTTCCACGGATCAAACCTGATTATCTAAAATTCCTCAGGCAGTGTAATATCCCTACAGGTTTTCCACTTCCCCATTAATAATAATGATAACACTGAGACGAATTTTTACATTTTTCCCAGACTAGGTAACATATTATCGAGCTACTTATTGAATCATACTTCACCAGATGATTGTCGTTTTGTTTTATCATTTAAGGCAAACCTTCGCACGCTCTCGGGGGTAACTATACAATAAAATATCCGCATGAATTCTTTCCTCATGTGTGAAGTGATACACAGCTAGCGGATTTAAGGCTTCAGCGCCGCTTAGCGGGAAGAGCCTAGCGATGACACTGCAGTATGAGGCTAAGGATGCTAATTAGTAGTGTGAAGTTAGCGATGCCAGTCAGTGGTGTGAGGTTAGCGATGCTGCTATGTAGTGTGAGGTTAGCGATGCTGCTATGTAGTGTGAGGCTAGCGATGCCGCTCAGTTGTATAAGGCTAGCGATTCCGCTCAGTCGTTTAAGGCTGGCAATACCGCTTAGCGGTATGATATTAGGAATACCCCATTATTCTTCGAATGCCTGATGGAAATGAATTATTATTATATTCACAAGAGATGGCCCGTGGCCTGGTAGGCAAAACTCTCGCCTCACACACTGAGGGTCCGTGGTTCCATTCCCGGCAAGGGGTGAAAACATTGGGCGTGTTTCCTTACACCTGTTCACCCATCAGTAAAATGGGTACCTGGGTGTTAGTCGATTAGTGTAGGTCGCATCCTGGGACAAAATTGACCTAATTTGCCCGAAATGCTCTGCATAACAAGGGGCTTTCATTATAGTAGTATGTCATGGAAGACAGCTAGGTCTGTATGCTATGTACTTGTAGAAATAAAGATATTATTATTATTATTATTGTTATTGTAACGCTTAAGTCATTTATAACTTTGGGCAGTGTACACACAGCCTGCGGACAATAGTACTCAGAGAACTCCATGAGAATTGAGATTTTAGACTGCCATGAGACAACCTCTCCTCCATCATGTAGGAATAGCCATATGTCTGCAACCCATTAAAAATATCAGCAGACTACCACTAAACTTCGGCTAGGCAACAGATCTTTAGTTCACAGCACCACTAATGTAATAAAGTTGGGTAGAATTACCGACAATATGTAAAGTAAAAGGACACAAGTGCAACTGATGTGACATTTTATTGTGGCAACGTTTCACTCTCCAGGAGCTTTGTCAAGCCGTTACCGGCTTGGCAAAGCTCCTGGAGAGCGAAACGTTGCCACAATAAAATGTCACATTAGTCGCACTTGTGTCCTTTTACCACTAATGTAGATACGTATAACAAATTGTCAGAAAAATTATTCTAACACTGCATCACTGTTTACTGGAATATGAAACACTAAGAATTTTGGGTACACATTTTTGTAGATATTCAAGAAATAGCCAAATGTTTTTCATAATGACATATTAGAAAAGTATCTCAACTTTGCTTATTGCACCACTTCACTAATCTGATTGATCTGTGTCAAAAAAAAAAAAATAATGATTTAACCAAAGTAACATTGGGGCCCGGTTTATGGATTCACTGAGTGCCTTAACATGGTATGTTTGTTCTATCTCTCCACTGCCACCCACACGATAAAACTATCTAATAAAAACATGTATTAGTTTAATAATCAAAGTTGCTGTTATGGAGTCCCTTACGATATTCTAGAACCTCTTGGTTTCTTAATTCTTGGATGGGACAGTCGTCAGTCAAAATAAAATATGTAAGTGTTGTAAGAACTCTTTGAAAAGTCAAGTTTTTGTAAGAAATTTCCGTTTTTTTTTTTTGTTATAAGAGAGCTCAGGAAGACGGTGAAACCTCCGCCTCCACAAACCATGATGTACCCTGGGCGCCCACCGTCACCCTCACTACCATGGCGTAACCTCTATGCCCTGACTGCGCTCCAGCACCGCCTAGGTGACTACGATGCTGCTTAAGGGGCACGTCAGTTCCCTTGTTTTCTAAGATGTTATTTTCCCCCTATAATCTACCTTGTCCATAATTACTATCGCATTTACTTTGTCTGCTTTTATAAGGTGAAGTGTAGGATCTATTCTTAATTCATGGTATAACTTAACCAATTTTTGAGAACAATTGTGTTGCAGAGGTCCGAGCTTTGCTCAGACCCTTGCAACACAATTGTCCTCAAAAATTTGTTAAGTTTACCATGAATTAAGGGAAGATCGTAGACTTCACCTTACGAAAGCAGACAAAGCAAATGCGACATTAATTATGGACAATGTAGATTATAAGGGAAAAATAAACATGATATTAGGAGACAGAAACTCATGTGCCTCTTAAGACAAAAAGTTACCAAAATGGCACCGGGTATAGCAGTGGAAAAGAGGGTTGCTACTCTCCAGGATGCCCGCTCTAAATCCTTTGTTCAAGAGCATCAAATGACGTGTAGACCTTTAGGAGCGGTTTCCATAATTTTAAATGAATGGAAGGCACCGTACAAAGTGTTTAAGACTACAGTAAGCCATAGGGAAAGAGGGAGATTATAATAGTTGGTGGTAATGAGGTTACATGACCTGGAAGTGTGCTGCCATCTGCAGCCTCACGCCGGAGTCTCAAGACTGGAATACTCCCCTGCCACGCGCATGAGATTTCCAGGAAATATGTCTAAATTATGTTTTGTTACTTGCAATGCGGTTTACTTTCCGGTGATGGAAGCTATAATATGTAGTGGGTTTTACTAATAACTTGCTAACTTTCCAACTTTAAACTTGTTAATTCTACACGTTATAATAAGTTTGGAGTATGAGATGTTTGGATGTACTGTCAAGTTCATCTCGCGTCTCCGACAGTTGATAGTTCGCTGTGGTGGGAGTAAGTACTTACTTTGGTGCAACATCAAGCCCATAAACAGCCAATAAAAAAAATGTGCTAGCATTAGTCCTTTTCAAGTTTAATCAAGTGCTAGTGAGCCCCGTGAGTGGCGTGTGTGCTGAAGCTGCGAGAACAGGTGTTGACAATGTTGGTATCGCGGGTGGTGTTGGTAGTGGCGGTGGTGCCCTACCTGGTATGGGCACAGCTGGGCGGCCCACCTGATAACTCTGCCACGGAGAATTGTGAATGTTCTCCAGCGTGTGAGAGCGGCGGTGGGTGTCGAGGGCGTCTTGTAGCGAGGGAAGACTGTCCATGTTGTCGGGTATGTGCCCACCAGGAGGGGGACTCCTGCTCTCTGCCCTCCATGCCCTGCGATGTTGAGTTCGGCCTCGTCTGTTCTTCTGAAGGTGTTTGTAAAGGTAAGGGAAATATATCTTTTCCCCCTTGCTCTACTAGCTTCACACTAACCTGCTCTTCTCCCTCTACACTAACCTGCTCTCCTCTTACCTTCCCTTCACACTATCTTGCTCTTCTCTTCCCTCTCCCTTCACATGAACCTGCACTCCTCTCCCCCGCTCCACACACATTCCTAGTTTCAACACTGATCTCTCTCATACTGTGTACAGTCTTACGTCAACCTCTACGGTACTGTCTTGCCTTCTTCCCTTTTATTATCATACCATCTGTATCATACTGCTTGCTTATACCATACGTTTTCTTAGTGTTAACGAAGTGCTTTACTTTTCCAAACCCTTCAAATGTAAGTAAGTTTATTCAGGTATACACAAATACGTGAAGGGCTCTTGATTTAAGGAATTGGAGTCACTCGAATTCCTTGCTTCAGACCTGATTATTACCATCCATTCTGAAGGCGTAAGACCACGGTTTAGCGCCTCGTTATTTTAATAGTATACACCTAGCTCTTACACCTCGCACATTACCCTACCACTTTCTCCTTCCTCAAATTTAAACAACACTATAAATAAAGTGTGACTCGAGTTGGAACCGAGGGTAGTCACACCTGTACCCCTGCATCTCTACAGTGATCTAGGTGGCAGCCCCACCCGTACCTTACATATTTAAGTCACTTCCTGCCTTGAAATTTCCCTTCTTTACCTCTCTTCCTTCATACTGCCCCGCTTTCTCCATCACTGCTTCCTTACCCTCCCGTCCTCCTTCCTTTAATATCTCCTACTTTCAAGTCTGACTGTACATATGCGAATAGACCATGGAAGGGGATAGAACCAAGAGATTGAGGCCTATCAGTGTAAACCGTCGTCAGAAGCTAGGTCATTAAATGAATTTCCTAGGGTTTAACTAGGAGTTTTTCCAATTCTTCGAATTTTTAGCTAAATCTTAGTTCATTGAATGACCTGGCTTCTGACGACGGTTTACACCAAGAGTAATGCGTTTAGCATCTTTGGTTTACCCTGCTTTGATGGGAAACACCGATGGCAATATACGTAAAATATATTCCAAGAAAGAAACCCTCTTTTCACAGTTTATATAAACTACATAGAAAGTGCAATAAATAACAATTCAAGATCGTCGACGATACAGGAATATGCCTACAAATAAATTCATAGAAGTATTCTCAAAAGTTTCAGGATGACAAGTTAATGTTGTAGCCAGAAAAGTAAACATGAAGACAGAAAATAACCTCTACAGTTATAAATTAAATCATGTAGACCTTAACCAAACTGGATATGAACTAACTTTTGAGTCCTGGCTAACGTAAATCTTAAGCCCCTTTCAAAATGGAAGGAAGGATGCTTTGATGGTGTTAAAGGGCTTTTGATCTAAGGAATTTGATTTGCTATCCCTTATACTGGGTCAGTCCTTATTACCTCATGTATCAGGTGCTGTAAGATCCTGACGGGTTTGGTGCTTCCCCGTGAATATTAATCTAAAGTCAGTAAAACTAATGAGCAGCTAAGTTTTATATCAGAAGGTTAGGGTATGTAAGATTTGTCAGGAAACAGGACAAGTGTTTCCTGACCTGGGTCTTAGTCATATGATGACCCGCCGATGGAGCTTTTGGTCATCTGACCCAGGCCTTCCGCTGGCTTACCGGTCCACCCCTTTAGAGATTATGGTTATAATTATAATAATTTTTTTATTCTATATCAAAAGGTATACGTAGCAGAATTGGTAAGGTTATACAACATTACCTACCCCAGATAAAATCTTGTTTTTATTATGGGTATGAAGGGTGGAAGGCATTTTCACAGGTGGAGGAGAGGGGGCTGGGTATAAGCTGAGTTAAGCACCTTCATCCGCCACTTTTTCTGAAACATAATTACCAACAGCACCGAAACCATCGTGACCACCAAAACCAACACTACCAGTATCATAACCTCCATCATTATCACCACAACTACCGCCATAGTTATAATCCACATCATTATCACCACAGCTACCATCATAGTCATGACCTCCATCATCACCACCACAGCTACCATCATAGTCATGACCTCCACCATCACCACCATAGCTACCATCATAGTCATGACCTCCACCATCACTACCACAGCTACCATCATAGTCATGACCTCCACCATCACTACCACAGCTACCATCTTAGTCATGACCTCCATCATCACCACCACAGCTACCATCATAGTCATGACCTCCATCATTATCACCACAGCTACCATCATAGTCATGACCTTCATCATCACCACCACAGCTACCATCATAGTCATGACCACCATCACCACCACAGCTACCATCATAGTCATGATCTCCACCATCACCACCACAGCTGCCATCATAGTCATGACCTCCATCAGAATAACTATCACTAGCACCATCATGGAAGACTTCATCCCTACGTCCATAAGTACTATCATAACTTCAGCCTTCAGTATTGCCACCACAACTATTACTACCACCATCATAACCATCCTTACCATGACATCTACTATGGTATCTACAACTTCTACCATTATCACTCTACCCTCCAACAATATACAACAACCACGACTGCCAACACCATAGTCACATTCCCTTCAACATAACACCAATATCATTAAACTCATTATCACAGTCACCACCTCCACCAACATAATTACCGCCTCAGTCATTGTAATTGTCACTACCAAAACTCCCACCACAATAATCACAGCTACCATCATAACCACAGTCTCCGCGAATGTAACCACTAGCATCACATTCACCAGTGGTATTGCCTCGTATCTCATTGATAGCTTTGCCACTTTAGTACTTAAGTAGAACTAGAACACTTAAGAACGTTCACATGACGATATCACTCTTGGCAAGATACTTGGATATTAAACCACAGGGATTCAAAATAATTGTTTTGTGGAATTCCGCTATTGGTGAAGGGGTTGCATCGGTTGATTGAATTCAGAGTGGGTCCCCTCAAGGAGGATGTGGCTTGATTGTGTTGAAAGGCTCATGGTGCAAGGAATTGCAGCTATCCTGCACTACCCCCACCCCTTTTCATTTTCCAGGCATCACGACCCTTATGGTTTAGAGCTTTCCCGTTAAAGTAATAACTGATTTATATTTGGCGCTTATTTTTTTTTAGCTTTAAACTGTCCTCTTTGACTGTATTTGACCTTTTTCGTGTGCATACCCCTCAAGGGAGGTTCCTTGATGCTAGTGAAGGGCTCTTGATCTAGGGAATTGGATCTGTGCTCCAGTTCCCTGAATTCAGCCTGAATACTTTCTATCCCCCCCGCACATGCGCTGTATAACCCTACAGGTTTAGCGCGCCACCATAATTATAATAATCTCGTGTGCATAATGCCACTTATATGTTTTTGGCACAATGATGATATCTCACCTGGATGTTATCACTCAAGGTTTTCATTAAAGTTCGCGGAATTTATCAAGAAAGATATTTTTACGCATGGTATAACTGTGTGTGTGTGTGTGTAAGAGATGCTATAGGATGACACAGCAGATCCCGTGATGGCTGCCACCCTCGCCTTCATTACGAGATGAACAGCTGTGTCAGGCTCGTGTATGGCGCGGGTTTATCATTCACGAGTCAGGTGTCAAGGACTCGAGACCACGACTTACTCTCTCCTCTTCTCTCAGACTTGCTTAACCGTAGGTAGTGCCACTATCAATGGTGGCATTGGCACTGTCAGGCAATGTTTCATTAACATATGAGTTCCTGCATTATTATATTTGCGGGGAAACGCTAAATCTGTAGGGGTCATACAGCGCTTGAGAAATGGGAGGTAATTAGGTTCATTTCAAGCAAGGGAAGGACACGTCCAATTCCATGGATCAAGAGCTCCTCACCAGCATCAAGGAACCTTCCTTGGAAGGAAATAAGCTCGTACTGATACAAATAGGAAAACAAGTAGTAAAAAGTCTTTAAAAACATGCAGTCCAGATTTATATAATATGTACATTTCAAATATAATTAAAAATTTATATTATATGCACAATTTGAACTGCACGTCTGAAAATGTTGCTTTCATGTACATGTCTGTTGAAAATGAACTGACTTGAACACGTCATCCTAAGAACTCCTTATTCTAGAAACACATACATTTTATTTAGAAGATGCAGACTAATGTGTAGGTTAGACATACTCTAGAATTGCTCTACGTCTCACATGACTTACTGGCGCCATGTAAACAAGTCAGCAACATTGTGGCGCTAGTGTTGCTCTTGTCCTAGAATGCAGCCACAGTGTTTACGTAAATTCGTTTCAAAATTCCTCATTAATACACTTCTAATTTGTTTATTAAATTTCGCTGTTTTTTATATAGGTATGTATTATGATAAATTTACTATATGTGGTTCTTTGAACTTAGGAAAATACGAAATTCGTGGGATAATGTGCATGTCCTGAAGAATAAATTGTTGGGTGAAGCGAGAGATGTGGCGATGGGTGGAGAAAGTGTAGAGTTGGAGATAAATGAGAGACCTCGCATGTTTCTGCACTCTACCCCAGGGCCACACTTGATAAACTCGATATTCATTAAGAATTGAAAGAAACCCTAATCACGTGCCTCAAATATTCTATGGAGAAGCATAAACAATGAAGTCATTCTACAGTCATCAAAAAACACTGATATTGCCCCACTCCACAGTGGTGGTAGTGAAGCCATGAAAAAAAAAAAAACTATAGACCAACTTAATAAGTGTTAAGGAACGACGACTCTCCAACACCTCCCTTCTTGCATAAAGGGGATTACCAACAAACCCCTAGCTGTCTTCAAGAGTGAATTAGACATTTTCCTCAAAACAGTTCCTGATCACCCAGTTTGTAGTGCATACATTGAACTGCGGGCGGCGGGCACTAACAGCTTGATCCATCTGGCCAGCAACCAGGAGACCTAGTCTGAGACCGGACCGCGGGGGTGGTGACCTCTGGAAGCCACCCAGGCAGAATGTGTGGTAAAGAGGAAGATTTTGTATTGGAGAGAGATCT